AATTTAATTCGATAAAAATGCATTATTCACAACACTATTACACATAGGATTTATCATTTTCTCGTTTCTAAAGTTTAAGAAACATTGTAATTTTATTTGTTGTAGTGAATTATATAAGGTTGCAGACTACCCCTTCACGTGATCTCAGAAGTGAGCAGATTCATGGAAAAACGAAATCAAATGGTCGCGTTTGATAATAGTGAGAGTAGTAATAGTGAGTGTAGTGTCACCATAATCATTACGACAAATTCATCATAATAACACTATCAAAATCATTGTAACAAATCAATTCATTACGACAAGCTGTCTGGATATAACTCCGTATTTCACATCCCCAGTTATCGTCATTTCATGGTAGATTTCTGGGCAATCATCTTAAACTTGAAGACAAATGCTTCGAAAGGGCGGATAAAAGTAATATCCGTCTGATATTGGAGCATACTTTCTCGTATTATTGATAACGGCTACGTAGTATAATTTTGCACTTTGTATCCTTCTAACACTTATCACTTGACACTAGTGGGGCAACATCAGCACTGATTTTCTCGCATTATTTGTAACTGCTATGTAATATTATAATACTACATGAACCTGTAAAAGCGTTTCCAACTTGCAAAATATATTATGCGCCGTGATTCGAATTCAAGTTCTTAGGACAAACACGCTACTTACGTTACCACCTACAGCACCAGCTTTAGAGCTGAACGCAACCTTCTCAACACTTGAAACCTAGTGGTGCTACACTAGCACACAGTTTCTCGCATGTATTTCAACGATGAGATCTGCTGCATTTTTAAACACCCTTTGTTCAATCCGTGAATATTATATATTGATGGGAGACCTTATTGCGTTTTTTTAATTGCATATTTTCTTCAAAAAATCTGTACATGACCTTGTATTTAAGATCTACATTTTAGAGCAGAACCGACAAATGAACAAATGGACAGACTGACGGGCAGACGTTTTAACAAAAACATATTTTTCAGAATCATTGTCTCCACAAAAACTCCATTGTTTGTAGCATTACATAACTTTCTCTACAATATTTCTAGGAGAAATTGTAAGGGGATAAATTTGAATGTCCTAAACGTGTCTTAGGGAGTAACTACAAGTTATATAAAAGAATAAAAACAGAAAGAATATTCACGCTGAGAAAAATTATGTAAAATGATTCAGACGTAAATGCCCGACCAGTTCATTTTATGTTAAAATTGAATTTCCGAAACGTTTAAAGTCAAATTTGAAGATCGAAAAGAATGAAAGCAGAAAATAATTTGACCAAAATTCATGAAACTGTTTTTAATCATGGAAAAAATTATAATTCAGATCAGTAGCATCGTTTTATAAACCACTGCATTGATTTAGGTGTAATATTTCTTTTTTTGTTGTTTTGTATTATTTATAATTTCAATGTTCACGAAATTATAATCCTCACGAGATAAATCCATTTTATATTCAATACACAGTCTGTCACAAATCAATTCAAATACAAATTTCCGTATAAGCATCACTTATAGTTACACAGTACATTTTATACTACAATATTGAACAATAATTTCAATTATTGTTTGCGGGACATTAACTCTACCAAGCATTGATGCTTATATCGTTTCAAGCGATGATTAGCATTTAACTATAAAAATATTTAGCATAATTATTGTATATAACATATTCCATAAATACATAGCTATTAGCAAAAAATAATTTAAAGGCCACTTTCTTAACCTAAGCTACATAGAGAGTGCCTTCGACAGAGAATTGGCCGGCCAAT